TTAACACCTGAATGTTTGACTGCTGAGAGGTGCTGTGTAGAAAATCTCCTGCCACTGAGTCCACAGCGACTCCCAACAACTCTGTAAGACAGAGTAAAGCTGCCCCGTGGGCTCCTACGACCGCAGCTCTTTAAGGAACTAGAAAGCCCCATCTTTCTCTGGAGGGTGGTAGCTGGTGGTTTCAAACTGCCGGCCTTGCAGACTCCAGCCCAGTGTGTAACCACTACATCACCAGGGCCCAGAGAGGCCCCGAATAGGCTCTCTTAGAGTCCTATTGGTCCTGGGGTGAATGTCACTTATTTGTTTCATGTCCTCACAAAGCACGCCTCTTCTCCATGCTCCCTGCCCTTCTCTGAGTCTCTCCAACCAGAGTGCTGCGGTCGGGGGTGTGTGTGTGCCATGGGGCCACTTCTGTCTCATGTGACAGAGGAGAATTGCCCTTAGTGTTTTCTGGGTTGTAATCAGTGCTATGGGCAAGGCATTGGCTTGTTCAAACCCACCAGCCAGTCTGAGGGAGAAAGATGAGGCCGTCTGATCCTAGGCAGACTATAAACTCAGAAGTCCTGTACTGTGAGTGGGCACTGACTTGTGGTCTCAAACTGCTGACCTTGCAATCCACATGTAGCCCGCAGCCCCACCAGGGCTCCCATTGGGGAAGGTAACCAAGCCACTTACCGCCACCGACTCCATTGTGACTCAGAGTGTGGGTTAAACAATTGGGCAGCTAACCACAAGGTCACCAGTTCGAAACCACCAGAAGCCAGGTTTTCTACTTCCATAAAGACACAGTATCAGAAACTCACAGGGGGCAGTTCTAGCCTGTCCTACAGGGTCACTATGAGTCAGCATCGACCTGATGGCAGTGAGGGTTTTTAAATGTATTTATTATCAAGGCCCTTTGGAACTGCACTGAGTGAAATGTTGGACTGCTAACCTTAAGGTCGGCGGTTCAAACCCACGAGCTCCTCCCAGTGGAAAGAGGAGGCTGCCTGCTCCTGTGAGGAGAGAGGGTCTCAGAAACCCCATGGAGCAGTGCCTCTCTGTCCTGTAGAGTCACTGTGAGTCGGACCGGCTGGACCGACGGGCTTTGTTGTTCTGGGGCCCATGAGGGTCCATCTACTGGGGCCCTGGTCAGGGTGGCCAGCAGCGGGGTTGGGCACCACCTAGTCCTTCCATGCACCGTGGCTTGGTTGTTGCCTCTGAGTGGACTCCGATGCACAGTGACCCCAGGGACAGAGGAGAATCACTCAAGAGGGCTTGCTCTGCTGCCCACATTCCAGGGGCAGGTTGCCTGGCCTTTTACCCTGCAGACCTGCCAGATGGCTTTGAGCCATGACACTGCAGTTTGCTGCCCAGTGCTTACGGGGTGCACTAGCCAGGAATTGTGGGAAATGCCTGGGAGAAAGGGTGTTCCCGCCTGTGGACAATCTGGCAAGCAGTGGGGGCAGGGCGGTCTGGCGCTGGGGGAGGAGGGGGTGCTGGCTCCCACCCACGTCTCTCCCACAAGAGCACGCACTGTCCTGTCCTGCGAAGTATCTTCACATCGCCCGCGCCAGGACCCCCTCAGAACCCACAACAGTCTCCTCCTGTGTGAGCTGTGCCCAGGTTGGTCTCCACTTTGTTTTGGTCACTGTGTTGGCGGCTTGCAGAGGGGCAGTGAGACGGAGGGAGGCCCTGGACCAGATGGCCGAGCTGCAACATGATGTCCCTGATGGGGACGGGGAGGCGTGGGCGGTGTCTCCTGGTGTACGTGGGGTGCTGTGAGCCGGAACGGCACACATGGGGCCTGGCCGATACTTTGGGGCCAACGGGTTCTCTGGGTCCCACTGAGGCCCAGGCGGCGCCCACCCCCCTCGTGCCCACAAAGGTGCAGGCCAATGCGTGGCACGAAGGCTGGGCCCATGGGGCGGAGAGGGCCGAGAGGACGTGAAACATCCATTTGCAGGCACCGGCTGCTTCCAGAAGCCGAGTCCCAGGACCGGAAGCACTCGACTTCACTTTCAGGCTGGGAAAAACTTGTCCTTCAGAAACCCAGACAGAAGCTGTGTCCCTGGCTTGGGCCTCCTCCCGCCCTGTCCAGGCACAGCCCGCGTCCCCTGACCCTCCCTGCTGCATGCATGACTTCCGCCAAGTGCCAGGCAACTGAAATTAACCCTCGCTCTCTTGGTTACCACGGAGCCAGTGACATCCCACGGCGGTCCACGCACAACAGCAGGGAAACTGCCCGGTCCTGGGTCATCCCCACCATCACTTCTGTGCCCGAGCCCAGTGAGCTTCAAGTTCAAGTACTCCCCGCTCCTCAGTAACAAACCCAGACCAAACCCACTGCTATACAGTCAGTTCTGAGTCACAGCAACCGTGCGGGTCCTGCCCCTGCGGGTTTCCGAGGCTGTCCTTTACGGGGGCGCACACAGCCTCATCTTTCTTCCTCGGGCGACTGGAGGGCTGACAGTGCAGACCTTGGAGGGAGCAGATCACCCTGGGCAAATACCTGGAGAGTGGAGCTTGGGGGTGGAAGCTGCGCTTCTCTTAGGCGACGAGACGGCCGGCTTGTGAGCCTCTTGTTCTTTGTGACCTTCTTTCTTGGTCCCTGTACCTGGAGACAGCGGAGGGAGATGGAGAGGAAGCTGGTTATAACAGACAGACACAGGGACATCAGCTGCTTGGGGCCAGGGCTGCTCAACTCAAGGCTCACAGGACCAACAACACACGTCCTGGGTGGTCTGCGGCCAGCCCAGTGCTCAAGGAAGGACACACCTGACCTTTAGCTTTCGAGGACCAGAGAGTATGGGCTATGCTGTCCGCTGGTCTGATGACCAAGGCTCCTTCTCGCTGAAGGTCACTGCCACCCATGACCCTGACAAACCAACTGGGCAGCAATGGCTGCGGTCCTCAGCCACCAGCTTACTACCTTTCCCCGGTGCCTGCACCGTGTCTCAGAGGGTGGGAGGAGGCTGCAGCTGGACACCACCGCTCAATGGCCTGCGTGTCAGTGAGAGCCGGGCCACCAGGGACGGCCCGGCCAGCTCCAGTTAGCGTCTGTGCAGCTGCGCTCAGACACGCCCAGTGGGTCTCTGCTTCCCCGGTGGCAGCTGCCCGGAGCCCCTGCTGGGGCCAGTGCCAGCCCCAGGGGAGAACTGGTGGGTGTGGGGTGCCAGACTCAGGGCAATGCCACGTCATACAGTGGGACTGGCCCTTGGGTGGAGGTATGGGTGCTGGGCCGTGTCGTGGCATGTCATGTTGTGTCATGCTGTGCTGTCCGTGGGGGAACAGTCAGGAGATGTGCCCCCTTAAAGAGGATGCCCGGGAACCCTGCAGGACCTCTCTGCTCTGAGTGGGCATGGACTTGAGAGACACTGACCACAGCACACACACACACACACCACACCACACCCCACCCTTGCTCACACCCGGCATAGAACTACACAACACACACAACACAGCACACAGGTCTCCCTGCTCACACCCCACAACCTTCCTGACAGTGGCCATATCCTCAGCCACAGAGCCACAAGGCCCTTGTCACGCACACAGCCACGCATCACATGAATGCGTCAGGGGCGCAGGCTGGCCCGTGTGTCTGCGGAGATGGTTTTGGTGCCCTGTGCCATGGGGGGCACTGTGTCCCCACAGAGTGTCTGTCAGCTCGGGCTGTGTGATGACCTAATCACCTTCCATGGGGTGGGTGCCCGTGGTCGGTCACGCTGCCGTTGACTGGGTCACCGCTCTGCTCTGATGCAAGGGGTGCTCCCAGGGTGTGGCCTGTACTGCCCTTCTGACTCAGGAGAGACGGAGGAGGGAAACCCTGGGCAGGGAGAGAGGGTCCTCACCAGGACAGGGCAGAGGGGCTCCATGGGGTTTCCATGACCGTCCATCTTTACGGCAGCAACCAGCTTCACCTTTCCCACACTGAGGGGCCAGTGGGTTCGAACATTCAACCCTCAGTTCCCTGCACCACCAGGGCTCCTAAAGCGAAGCCAGCAGGGAAAACCCCAAAGCAAACACTTAATAACGAGATCCTGCCAGTGAACCTCGTGTGACTAAGAGCTAAGGAGCCGGTCTCTGGAGACAGACAGAAACTCATCCGTGGGGAGTGGATGTTATCCCGGGACGGTCTCCCCGTCTCAGCCCAACGAGTCAGCACCATCCTGCAGAGCGAGGCGGAAGGGACCCCGGGGCTCGGGAGATGCCAGGGTTTTGGATGCAGTGCCACTGACTGGGGCCACGGATCATGGAAGCAGGCCACGGGTGCTGATGTGGATGAGACAACCCCCAGCACGGGGAACAATTCAAGGGACACTTCTCTTGGGCTGGAAGAGAATGGAAACGAGGAAGCGAGACGCAGGTCAGACAACAGCCAGGAACAGAGAGTGAGGGAGCCGGCAAATCCCAGCAAGGCTGGAGGGCGGGGCAGGTGGGGGGTAGGGAGACAAAGGAAGCTCATTGGTGCCCCAGCCAACCAAAAACCAGCCTCCGCCACTGAGTCAATGCTGGCTCACAGCAACCCTACAGGACGGGGAGAACCACCCCTGTGGGTTTTCAAGACTGTCGCTCTTTACTGGAGTAGAAAGTGCCATCTCTCTCCCTAGGAGCGGCTGGTGGTTCCAAACTGCTGACCTTGCGGTGAGCAGCCCAGTGTGTAACCACTATGCCACCCGAGCTCCTCGTTGATGTCAATTGTAGTCTTAAAAAGAAAACAATCATGTTTTGGAGGGAGGATAAAGAAATTTTTTATTTTTGAACCCCTCTGTCTCTTTTGCTTAAGATTAAAGGAAGGAAGATTTTTTTAAAAATTAAAAAAAGAAAGAAAAAACTCATGAACAGGAATATGTGACCGTGTGGAGAATAGGGTCAATGGGAAGCAGGTGACTATGGGGTAGCCTAGAGAACCGATGTTCATTTCCATCAGGAGCCCAGGGAGTACAGTGGGCCAAGCATTGGGCTGCTGACCACAAGTTGGGCAGTCCACCAGCTCCTCTGAGGGGCAAAGGTGAGGCCGTCTATTTCAGAGAGGCGTGGCAGCCCCAGAAACCCATGAAAGGGTCACTGTGAGCTGGCATCAGCAGAAGGGCAGTGGTTGTGGGGATTCCACATAGTATGCGCACAGGGCAACTGCTGGCCTAGACGCTGGAATAGCAAATGGCTCTGTCCCCACAAGCTTATTATTGTCTGGGGCAAACAGACCCTGCAGTCATGGAAATAGTGTGGTAAGCACTTAGATAAAGGCCTGAGAACATTAAACCTGTCATGCTATTGTTCTAAGGGGCCATCAAGTCCACTGGACTCACAAGGACCATAGGTGACAGAGGAGAAGTGCCCCTGTGGGTTTCCTAGGCGGGCATCCTTTGGCTGGCATCCTCATAGCAACCCTATAAACAAAGCGCCAAGCCGAACTCTGCCCTGGAGCCGATTCTGACCCATAGCGACCCTGTTGAGGGTGCCCAACCTGATAAGTCTTTATGTAGCAGACAGCCACAGCTTTGTACCTGGGAGTTGGTGGTGGGTTTGAACCCCCAACCTTAGAGTTAGCCGTTGAAGACTCACTCAACAGCGTCACGAGGATTCCTTAGAGCAGCCCTATGTTGTTGTTCGATGCCGTCGTGGCAGTTCTCACCCACAGCGACCCCATGTCAACCCAGGACGCACCGCCGGGTCCTGGGCTGTCCTCACCACGACTCCCATGTCTGAGCCCATGGTGGCTGACCCTGTGTCCACCCAGCTCCTCCAGGGCCCTCCTCTTTCTCACAGCCTCTCCACTTGACCGAGCATGACATCCTTCTCCAGGGACTGGCCTCTCCTGATCCCACGTCGTCGAAAGGATGTGGGAGGAAGTCTCGCCCTCCTTGCCACTAAGGAGCCTTCCGGTTGTCCGTGCTTCGCCCGTCCGCGGTGCTTTCAGTAGGCTCCGCCAGCACCATCGTTCAATGCACCGATCCTTCTTGTGTCTTGGGTCTTCCTTATTTAGCGTCCAATCTCCACATGCCTGTGAGGTGATGCCTTGGGGCAGACGCACATTCATCCTCAAAATCACCCCCTCACCAACGCTATCAGGGTTCTAATTCTACAGAGGAGAGTCAAACTGCTCTGTAGGGATCCAAGGCTGTTTGTAGCCTTTCTCCCATGGAAAAGCAGGTGGGTTTGAACTGCCCACCTTTCAGGTAACAGACACATGTTTAACTGTTGAACCACCAGGCCTCCTTACACCTATAATAGAGTCTTAATTATTCCTGGCAATAGGACTAGGAGATAAAAGTGCTTATGAAGAACCCTATTAAAAACCATACCCACTGCCACCCTACAGCAACCCTGCACAGCCACCCTACAGCGACCCTACACAGCCACCCTACAGCGACCCTACACAGCCACCCTACAGCGACCCTGCACAGCCACCCTACAGCGAGCCTGCACAGCCACCCTACAGCGACCCTGCACAGCCACCCTACAGCGACCCTGCACAGCCACCCTACAGCGACCCTGCACAGCCACCCTACAGCGACCCTGCACAGTCACCCTACAGCGACCCTGCACAGCCACCCTACAGCGACTCTGCACAACCACCCTACAGCGACTCTGCACAGCCACCCTACAGTGACCCTGCACAGCCACTCTACAGCGACCCTACGTTGGCTGTGTAAGTCTTCAGGGGAGCAGACAACCTCCTCCTGCCCCTGCACGTAGAAAGAGGCGAGTAAAGAAGAAGAAAGCAGCATTGCTACCTTTAACAATAGCAATGCTTTTAACAGAAAATGACAATTCTGCTCTCGGTAACCTCCCTTCCACACCCTCCCTTCCCACATTTCAATACAGAGAGGCCACCCATTTTGGCAACATCCAAATTCAACGTCCACCCATTGGACGGAACTCTGTGTCGAGCGTTTGTGATGGAGCCATTTCCACCCGTGCACAGCCCTTTGTCCCCCTGGATCTAAGAGTTGCCTTTGGTTTTGCATTTGCTTTGCTTTCTATCTATGTGCTGCTACTTCCTACCAGAACTCCATCAGGGTAACGCTTCTTGTCCAACTTCAGCGGGCACCGTTACGCCCCGGTTCCTTTGTTTCCTGGGGGGGGGCGGGGGGACACACTCCTTCTTCCTGCAGCCTCCATCAGCTCCTCTTTTCCGATGGTGGCGCCTCCACGTCTCATCGCGGTGCTTCTTCTTGTCTTTCTGCAGCTGAAACGCTCCGTTTCTACCTGTCTCTTCTCTCGTTCAAGAAGCAGCCTTGGCGGTGCAGTTGGCTAAGCAAGAGACCAGCGGTTTGACCACTTGCCGCTCCTCATGGAAACGAAGAGGCTGTCTGTGCCCGTCGAGACTCACAGTCAAGGAGCCCACGAATCCTGCTCCGCCCCTGCTCAGCTGAGACAAAATCTTAACACCTGTGCTATGACTGCGGGCCCCCTTGAATCTTTTTTGAAATCAGATAATGAATTCAGCATCGATATTTCCTTTACATGTTTTCTAGGTTATTAGGCCAGATCACCGAGGGCCTTGGTCGGCTGGTTTAACAGGAACCGGCTGCTGAGACCAGGCCTCTTGTTCCTGTTCTCATGATGAACTTACAGATCGGTTTGCTCTACGAGGATGGCCTAATTAACTGGAATCCGAGCCACCTGTGGCTTCGAGCAGGTACCTATTAGAAGTCTGTTGAAGGAAGGTGAGCCAGGGAAAAGTCACTTCCACTGAACCTCACACCAGAAATCTAGGTTAAAGGAAATAGCACCAATTCTCCCGGGGTCTGTGATGTGCTTGGTACCCGGTGAGTCTCTGAGAGTGCAGAGAAGCCAGAGTTCAGCCTCGTTAGCTGGGAATGACTCAGGGAAGGAAAGAAAGTATCATGTGTTAGAAATGGTTTCATCCAAACCCAGCCCAGCCCAGCCAAACCATGCCAAACCAAATCAAGCTTAGCCTAGTCAAGCCACACCAAGCCAAGCCAAGCCTAGTCATGCTATGCCAAGCCAAGCTAACACAAACCAAACCACGTCTAGGCAAGCCAAGCCAACTCTAGCTAAGCTAAGCCAAGCCAAGCCAAAGCCAAACCACACCAAGTCAAGCCACACCAAGCTAAGCCAAGCCAAAACATGCCTAGCCATGCTATACCAAGCCAAGCCAACCCAAACCAAGCCAACCCATGTCTAGGCAAGCCAAGCCAAGCCAAGTCTAGCCAAGTCAAACCAATCCAAGCCAAGCCAAAGCCAAAGCCAAACCAAGCCAAACCAAGTCAAGCCAGCCAAGCCAAGCCAAGCCAGACCCTAACCACTACTATCTGGTTGGATCTGACTCACAGAGACCTTATAGGACAGAGTAGAACTGCTCCTGACAGCTTCTGAGACTGTGAATCTTTATGGGAGCAGACGGCCTCATCCATCTCCCTCAGAGTAGCGGGAAGGTTTGAACTGCTGCCTCGTGGTTAACAGCCCAATGCTTATAAGGTCTGCAGCATCCCCCGGGCTCCTTGGAGAAAGAAACGCAGCATCGCGTTTTAGGAATGACTCCAACAAACAACGAGGGTTTGTGTCACCCACATCATTAACATTACTCAAACACCTCACATTCCCAAGAAATTCAATTATTTGAGAGCTAGTTCTAATCTGCTACCAACTATTAAAATGAGCCTGATGCTAGCGCAGGTCGGGACGCAAGCTGATTTCATTTAGAAGCAGATTTGATTGAAATTTGAAATTCAAACCAGTGGAATGAATGCAAGGCTGAACTTCAGGGCCGCAACCCACCTTGTGAGAAGAGTGGGTTTGAAACGAGGGAGCCTGAGCGAGCCTCGGAGAACACCTGGCTGAGAAAACCCGAACACCTGGAAAGAGAGTGACTGGCTAATCGCCTGATCCACTCCCTCCTCAGACCACTCATCCCACCCTCTCTGGACTTTTAGGCAGCACACGTGACCCCCCCAAGGGAGTCCTGGGGGCTAGGCATTGAGCTGCCCCCCGCAGGGTCGGGAGAAAGATGAAGCTCCACTCCATGAAGAACTACAGTTCTGGAAATCAGTCAGGCCGATCTACTCTGCCTGACAGGGTCACGCTGAGCGGGTCAGAATTAAACCCAAGACAGCGGCCTGCTTGCTGGGTTGATGTGCATTGCTGACGTCAGAGGATCTGGGCAGAAAGCAGAGCATGCCAGACCGATGTGTGCTTGGAGGATGGAAGCGCCGTGGGGGCAGCAGATCCCTGGGGTGCTCCGGGACCCCATCCTGGAATCTCAGCCTGGAGCTCGCCCCCATGCCCTCCCAAGGGGGCTGTGGCCCTGCTTCCCTGAGCCAAATGCCAAGCTACTGAACGTCACCCGGCTTGGTTTTCTGCAGTGGAAACGGTGTGAGTTCATGGGTCGGGAGAGGGCGAGAAGCTCTTGGGAGAACTTGAACATCTGCATCCCAGGGGGCGGTACAGAGTGGGTGTCATTCCATTTCCTCATGAATCTTGAAGCCCCCTTGCCTTGGATAGCTGCCCCCCTCTCCCGCTGTCAGTTTGTCACACTTTGGTGGCTCACTTGCTGCCGTGACGCTGGAAGCTGCACAATGGGTCATTTCAAAGGGCAACAGCGTCGTGCATGGTGGTGGACAGGCTCCGGTGCAGCTTCTGACCTAGGACAGGCTGGGAAGGAAGTCCTGGAGATCTACTTCCGAAAAGCAGCCTTTTGAAAGTGCTACAAAGGGCCCTGGTGGTGTCGTTAGTGGGTTACAAGGCGGACTTGTGGTCAGCAGTTCAAAACCACCAGTCACTCCATGGGAGAAAGATGAGGCTGTCTACTCCCATACCGATTTACAGCCCTGGAAACTCCCACGGGGCTGCGTGAGCCCGTCCTGCAGGGTCGCTATGAGTTGGAACCGACTCGATGGCAGTGCATTTAGAGGCAAAGTGTCTGTACTTTAAATGACACCCAGGAAAGGTTCTCTTTTGGGGACTTGATGGAGGCCTGGTGGCACACATGCTAAGGGCTCGGCTGCTGGCCCCCTGGTCCTGATTTGAACCCGCCTCACTGGCCATGTTGTGGGAGAGGGATGGAGCAGTTTGCCTCTATCAGAATGGCAGCCTTGGAAACCCTAGGGGCTGTTCTCTGCCCCACGGGGCTACTGTGAGTCAGGGTCTAAGGGATGCCTGTGATTTTGGGTAATAATCACACACGACTCAGAACCTCTACCTGGAATCCAAATGATATGCCCCCACTCTCATTTTATTAAAAGCCCCGCTTGATTTAGAAGCTCTTAAAATTATAAAAAGGAAAGATGATGGGGTGTTAGTGCCATTGAACACCTAGGAGGTCGAGGGGCACAGGGACGGTGGGACAGCGACTCGGTGCAGAGCCCGCACCAGGTGGGAAGCATCTTACCGGTGGGCACGGCTGTAGGTTTGGGCGCAGGAAGTAAACTCCTTCGGGAGGGGGTCACACTGGAGGGGGCTGGGGGGGCCGCCCTGGTGACCCTGGGGGCATCTTTGGAGGGCAGTGTGGCCTTCAGAGCCGGCTGGTCTTCATTCCCAAAGGCTGGACCTGTGGAGACAGACACCTGGTCAGCATATGCTCATGGAAACGGACGGTCCCTCACCACGTGCAGGTGCCTCCCAGCCAGCAGGCCCGGGTCCTGAGTGGGTCACTGGGGGCCGTTGTGGAGAGGAGTTCTCTGGCGATGCATTGGGCAGGGGGCTCCCTTCTGTCACTGCATTGAAAGGGCTCCACCAACACAGAAAGAACACACACCACATACACACACAACACACACCATATATCATGCATACACACAGCAAACACTACACACACACTGTCCACACTACAATCATACCATACTGATACACACCATACATGTACCACAATATTGTACACATACAAATACACATGCACACCATATGCATACACACCACACATATATACCACATACACAAATACACAGGCACACAAACACTTGGACACACCGCACGCACCATACATACTAAGCATGCACCCATGCACACATATCACATTCATATTATTTACACACAAACACACATGCACACCACATATACATACCACACACACCACACACAAACACACATACATACCACACGCACCCACACCACACACATACCATAGACACTATACACACAAACACACATACACATACCACACACATATATACCATACCACACACACAAGCACACATGCACCACATAGATATATATACCTCACACATACCACATACACACCACATGCATACTAGACACACAAACACACATGCACACCACACACCACACACACATACATGTCACACACGTAAACATATCACATGCATCACACACATGACACACGCACATGCCAATCACCACACACCATGCACATACCATCTATACCACAAGCACACCACATACATACAAAGCACACACACCACACATCCCACATGCACCCTCTGTTCTTGTCTGTTATCATGGGCTACAGTTCCTATCTTTGTAACAGCCCAAGTTGACCAGGACTTAAGGAGTATAATTCAGTAACCAATTATTCCGTGGGCCAGTGGACAGCGTGATGACACGTGGAGAACAGACAGACGCGGTCAAGGCTGTCATGTTGCTCCAATCCATCATCAATGCACGTGGAAGCAGCTGCTGGGGAATCGAACAAGACACTGCATCCGGCACCTCTGCTGCACAGGACCTCCCGAGACACCGGAAGAGCAAGGATGCCGCTCTGAGGACTAAGATGCGCCTGACCCAGCCAGGGGTTCTCCATCATCCCTGTGCATGGGAAAGCTGCACCATGCATGAGGAAGACGGCGGAGGAGGGATGCGCCTGAACGGTGGCGTTGAAAGCACCGGCCCGATGGAAGAACCGACAGACCTGTCTTGGAAGATGTACGGCAAGAATGTTTCTTAGAAGGGAGGAGGCCAAGACTTCGTCTCAGGTACTGAGGGCACGTGGCCAGGCGAGACTGGTCTGTGGAAAGGGACACCATGCTTGGTAAAGCAGAGGGGCAGCGGGAAAGAGGGAGGACTCAAGGAGCTAGATCAACACAGCGGCTGCATTAATGGGCTAAGGGGTAACAATGGCCGGGAGGGCAGCCAGGACCAGACAGTATTTCGAATGCACCGAACACCACCACCACCACTCACCCTGCATCTGGGAACGATCGCTGGGTTCCACAAACACCCGGCCACTTCGCTCCAAGGCTGACCACATAAAACCACGGCTCGGTGAGAGGGAGGGTAGCCCTGGAAGCTGTGCTCACGGGAGCCGTGGGGAAATGTGCTAGAGAAGTTCGGAGTGAAAGTGTGTCCCACGTGGGATCCAGTCATGGTTCCCTCCCAACCCAGTCCCTGGGTGAGCCGGGAGCTCACCCACGCCTCCCTCTGGCTACCGGCCCAGCATAAAAGGCCGGAAAGGGCTTCGTGAGGCAGACTCAGGAGCAAGACAGCCAGAGTAGTAATGACCTCCTGTACCGGCCAGATTCACCGCGTTGGGTAAACCGCTGCACAAGACCTCTTCGGAGTATTGGAAAGCAGGGCGGTGCTCTGCGGACTAAGGTGTGCTGACCCACGCTGTGGCCTTTCCCATCACTTCCTGTGCATGTGCATGTTGAGCACGGAACAAGGAAGACTGGAAGAATCCATGCGTTTGAACTGTGGTTGCCGGAAGGGAGAATGTTAAAAGCGCCGTGAACTGCTCAGAGGCTGAACATCGCCGCGATCTGTCTTGGAAGAAGTACGGTCAGAGCACTCCTTAGAGGCCGGGAGGGAGAGACTTCATCTCACGTACTTTGCGTCAGGAGAGACCAGTCCCTGGGAGAGGACGTCAGGCTGGGTCAAGCAGCGGGGCAGTGGGAAAGAGGGAGGCGCTCAAGGGGATGGATGGACGGACACAGTGTCTACAACCATGGGCTCAAACAGCAACTGTGAGGATGCGTGAGACCAGGCGGCGTTTGCTCTGCTCTCCGTGGGGTGGGTGTGAGTGGCACCTGGCTCCACAGCCCCGAACAACAGCAACGAGGAGGAAAAGGTGGTAGCAGAGAGCCAGTGCTATTCGTACGAGGGCTGCAATTTAAAACCCCTTCACGGAAGCTGTTCACCGGTGTTGTAGCAATTAAACGTCTCTCTTGACTGATTTTTTTTTCCTTGTTACAATCCCAGGCACTCAGTGGTGTAATGTTCTGGCTGCCTGATTTGATTACCTAATGGAAGCATGCTTTATTGATTTCCCTGCCTCTGGTGACAAAGCCACGTTTAATTCTTCCAGTCTCATCTCCATGTTTCCTTCCCCACCTGGTGCAGATCTCCGACCCAGTGTTGCTCCCCTTTCTCGCCCCAGAGGCCCAAAGCCAACCTGCTACCTTCCCCACTGCGCGAGGAGGATTCTTTCTTCGTTAAAACGAAATGTTCTTGAAGGAAAATGAAACAAAACAAAACAGAGACTCCAGAGGAAAAGACTGGACCTGGGAGATTTCTAGTTTGAGGGTTTCCTATGAAGGAGAGGTGTCCTGGATACCAGGATTGTGTGTGTGTGTGTGTGTGTGTGTGTGTGTGTGTGTGTGTCTTAGAGATTCAGCTGTGATCTTTATAGGAGCGGGCTTCAAAAAGTTCATGGGCAAATGGAACGGAAGGATAATGACAACTATACAACATACAAGGGGCCATTTCCTTGACGTCAAACGCTCTCTCGTGCGCTCTCTCCTTTGTTACGTACAAGGGGATGGACCCCCAACAAGGTCTTGGCTAAGTGGAATGAAGGGTCATGGAGTCAATCCTGAGTCCCAGCAACCCTACGTGGGGTTTTCAAGGCTGAAAAACAAGGTTCCTTTTGGGGCTAAAGCGTAATCTTTCCAGTGGCCTCATACGCATACAGGACTTGGAGGTTGGATAAGGATACGAAGGAGAGGGCATTGGGGTGGGGGTGCTGGCGAGGACTATGGACAGCACCACGGACGGCCAGACGAACAAACACATCTGTCACTGAAGAAGTACACTCACAGGGCTCCTTAGGGGCAAGCGGGCAGACTTCGCCTCACGGACTCTGGACATGCTGTCAGGAGAGACCAGTCCCTGGAGAAGGACATCATGCTTGGTCAAGTCGAGGGGCAGTGAAAAAGGGGGAGGCCCTGAACGAGATCGCCTGACACAGGGCCTGCGACCACGGGCTCAGACCTAACAATGGTGAGGGTGGCACGGGACCTGGTGTTGTTTTCTCCCGTTGTATGTAGGGCTGCCATGAACGGACTCACCAGATGACATATATTACCCAATACCATACAAAACCCAGAAAACCAACTCACTGCCATTGAGTCGATTCCGGTTCACAGTGACCCGACAGGACAGGGTAGAACTGCCCCTCTGGGTTTCTGATAGAAGCAGACAGCTTCATCTTTCTCCCGTGGAGTAGCTGGTGGGTTTGAACTGCGGACCTCGGTAAAGGCTAAATAGCTAGCATTCATGCTTCCTCTCTGCCTCTGAGGAGTTGCTTTGACCACTTTGCTGCTTTTGAGGGATCATCCCAACCCCTAAGACTTTCAGCCCATGCCTGGCTGCATCCACCGATGCAGAGCCACGGAAACTGTGATCCAAAGCAACTCTTTAGCCCACCTCCTCTCTGTAATCAGCCACCTCCCCTCTCCCGAGCCCCTAAGAGCTGGATCTAGGACCCATGTGTCAATACTCTTCCTCTCAGCTGTGAGTACCACGGGACAGCCCTAACTGGAGCACTCAATGATCTGCTCCTTGTGGGAGTTGTGAGCAGATAAGAGCATCCAGCGTGAACTCCGTCTCAATGCTGCTTAAGTTAGTCATCGAGTCTAAGGGGTTACAGATGGAGCCCTCGTGGTGTAGTGGGTGTGCATTGGGCTGCGACCCCCATGGTCTGCAGTTCAAAACCACGAGCAGCTCCTTGGGAGAAAGACTGGGCTTTCTGCTCCCATAAACAGTGACAGTCTCGGAAACCCACAGGGGGTGGATGTGAGTCCGCACTGACTGGATGGCAGTAAGTAGTTGGGATTATAGGAACGGTCCAGGGTGGAGAGCCTGCAGTCCTGGGTGCTGCGGGTCTGGATGCCCCGTGTCTGTGGGATGGCGTCCGTCCTTGGCAATGGGCACCTTCTCCTGCCACCCAGCCCACTGCCACCGAGGTGATTCTGACTCACCAAGACCTTGTATAAAAGATTCTGAGGCTTTGTAACTCTTTATGGGAACGGGCAGCCGCACTTTCCTTCCTCGAAGCAGCTGGTGGGCTTGAACCGCCAACCTTTTATTCCAGCGCTTACCCAACAGCACCACCAGGACCCTTTGAATGAGAAAAGCAACGTCTGGAATCCTCCTAGTTTTTGCAACCCAAACCAGTTACCGTGGAGTCCACGCCAACTCACGGGGATCCCATGTGCTTCGAGCAGAGCTGGGTCTCTCTGGGCTTTCAGTGGAGGTAGATCGCCAGGCCTTTCTTTTGCATGCCTCCAGGACTTGAACACTTAACTCTGGGTGTCAGCGTGAGAATGATGGCCTCTTGTGTATTTGGCTGGTTAACCCTTTAGATGAACGGGGACT